TCATGGACCAGAACAGACCAGGACCCTACTTACAGTCTGGATAAGGCAAGTGTGAGGCTAGGTTTCTGCCAGCCATAGAGCTGAGCTGGTCATGCTTATTTGCTTGTTTGTCAAGCTCACCTGCTGGGAAAGATTCCTCACAGACTTCAGTGGTCGGATTCCAATATCAAAACACCCATGTTGTCAGGGCCCCCAGGGTGCCTAGATAACATCGAAAGGTGCAGTCAGGCAAGTAGGGCAACTGGGGGTGGCAGGGAGCAAGTCTGACTGGCAGAATTGGACTTTGCACGTTGCTGTGGCCTGAAAGTCTGCTGTTTCAGCACAGTAAACATTGACTTAGTGCTAATTTACTCAAACAGCTGCTGGAGATGGGAGGTGTAGTCCATGGAAACATTGAGAGGCGTTTGTAAACCTTTCTTTGTGTGTAAAAGTTAGAAACCCGTTCTTCAGAAAAACTCGAGCTCTCTCAGTCAGCCACATGGGGTACAACTGGTGGCCTGCTCTAATGTGGCACTGCTTGTTTCTGAGCCTAGTCTTTGTCCTCGCACAGATCTGCGATGAGCTGGGTGTGAAGCGGCCCTCCTCTGTGAAAGTATTCTCAGGCAAAAGTGAGTGAACTGCCCCCTTCCTACCCACACGCCTGCTCTGTAGGTGGTACCTCTGTGCTTCCTGTCAGCCAGCCTGAAACCTCCAGCTCCTCTTGCTTTCTAACCAGGTGAACGCAGCTCCTCTGGGCTGCTGGAGTGGGAATCGAAGAGTGATGCCCTGGAGACGCTGGGCTTCCTGAACCATTACCAGATGAAAAACCCCAGTGAGTAACCTGTGTGTCCTGCAGTCAGCTCCCTGGTGGCCTGATGGTTGGCTGGCTTCAGGCTAGGGCAGGCCCTTCCTGCAATTGAGACAGGACCCTAGAGATTTCCTTCAAGTCCCTGACACAGGCAGGCAGGTGGGAACTGGTCACCAGGAGAGTAGCAGGATGGTCCCCATGGGAGGCCCAGCCGGCTGTTTGCTGCTACTCACTCTACCAGCTTGGGAGTTGCTCAGGCTTGTCCTCCAGGGAGCTGGCATTCTTTCAACGTCAGAGGCTGCCTCAAGCAGTATTAAGGTAGAGGAGTGACATTTGCCATTAGGCCTGTTGTCTCGGGCCAGCTGAAAAGCCCTGGGATTCTCCACAGGGATGAAGGAAAAAAGAAGAAATGCTTTGTATTTGGCTTGTTTCTAAGTCTCACATCAGGCTATAGCCCATTAAACCACTGCACTTGGATTTCAGAAACTGGGGGATGTGTCCAAAATGGGAACCAGGTTGGGGAAGCTGCCAGATTGAGGGCCCAGTTAACCAGTCTTCTCTCCCCTCCTTTGCAGATGGGCCCTACCCTTACACCCTGAAGCTGTGTTTCTCCACTGCTCAGCATGCCTCCTAATTAGGTGCCGGGAAGAGTCTCATCTGAGCAGGAAAACGTTTTTCCTTTATGCTGTTTTGTTTTTGGTTCTTTTCTTTTTTCTTTTCTTTTTTTTTTTTTTCTTTTGGCAAAAGTTCTTGTATTACTTTTTTTAATGCTAGGTTAGTAGAAGCTTAACCATAATGGAAATGCTGGAAATCTGGAGGGTGGGGGAGGGGAACTGATATCTCCCAAGATTAACCTTCACTTTTTAAAAATTATCGTACATGTGATTTTTTTTTTTTCCCCTGCCCCCGTTCATATGTTTGTGCTGCCCATGTATTCTTGGCACATTTCAATAAAAATTGTTTGGAAAATAGCACTTGCTGGTGATTACCAGGGTGTGTCCGTTTCTTTACCTCCCACTCAGTCTTCTGAAGAGGTGCAGGTAGGTCAGGGCCTGCCCCAGGCCCTGGGGGGAATGCAGGTGGGTCAGGTCTGCAGACCTGAAATGGTGCTAAGCACCGAGGAGTCTTTTGAGGAAAATCCAGGAAGCCTAGTGGCCATCTTCATGCAAACTTGGTCTAATTGGAGAGCTGTTTGAAAAGAGTTGATAATTTGGAGAAAGACCCAAAAAAGAGGGCATGGGCCTTAATCCTGTAAAGAAATATGCCCGTCTACAAGGTTTGAAAATGAAACTCCAGAGAGATGCAATTGAAAGTCTTCAGTCTTCATCATATCCCAGAGCTGCCTCTGCTGCAGAGCAATCCATTGTAGAGGTGTGTCATTTATTTAACTTGGTCCCTGAGACAGTATTATTTTTTGCTACTACAGATAGTACTGCAAATATTTAAATGGAATTGCCAGCTGAAAGAGAATGGGAGCATAGCTAGTCCCGAATTATAAACGGTGAAGATAGTTTAGAGTGAGGTATATAGGCCCCAGCCTAAACCTATCCTGAAAGAATCCTGGTTTGAGTACCTTGGTTCCTGCTGGAGAGTAGAGGCTTTCTTCTAATGTATATGGAAAAGCTCTGGCAAATCTCAGACTTGATCTGGGACCTGAGCCAGTGGCTTGCAGCTACATGCAAGAGCCAGGAGAATCCTCCAGCTTGATATTGATCCACAAACTTGGTTGTGATTTGCCAGCCTCTGCAACTGCAAGAGCCATTTCTTTGAGAAATTTTTCCTCTATAAACTTCATTAGTTTTGCTTTCTAGAAAACTCAGCCATTAGGTGACTATTGTTATGTGCCGTGGAGTGGAGTCAGGCCTGACTGATGGTGACCCCTCCTTGGGTATCACTATAGATAGTAAATTGCCCAACCTTCCTCTTAGGAGTGGCTGGTAGGTTTGAACTGCCAGCCTACTGGTTAGAAGTCAAGTGCCTTAGGCACTATGCTACCAGAGTCCTAGGTGACTATCAGTATTAATTCACTTCAAGGAGCTTTGGTGGTGCAGTGCCTAAGGCACTTGCCTGCTAACTGGAAGGCTGGAGGTTCAAACCCACCAGTCACTCCTCGGAAGGAAGGTTGGGCAATCTACTTCGGTAGTGATAGTGCCTCAGAAACTCGAGGGGTCGCTGTGAGTCAGATCTGACTTGATGGCATATAACAACGATGACAATTCACTTCATGATAATATTTTCTAAACAATACAATACTCCAGAGACGTGGTGCATGATATTGGCTGCCACTTCTTCAGCATTTATTACATGGTGAAGTTACCAGATAGACACTACAGTACAATATTGTACACATAATAACCCAGTAACATAGATATTTATCATGACTGTCAAGATGTATTATAGGTTATGTTTGTACCGAACCACTATAGGCCTAACAGCCTAATCATTTTGTACAAAAGAGACGTGAAATAAACATGTACAGGAAGTTGTTGCATTTGCTACATCCTGTTCTCTGATCAGAATTTCTGAACTCATAATATTATAACCTTGGAGCTCAGGTGGCATAGTGCCTCAGGAATATGACTGCTGATCAGAAGGCTGTCAGCTCAAACCTGCCAGCCACTACTGAGAAGGAAGACTGAACAATCTACTTCTGTAGCGATACTGCCTTGGAAACCCAAGGAGAGGTGGCTATGAGTAGGAAAACGACTCCATAGCAGTGAGTTTGGTTTTGGTTTATTGTAACATTCAAGGAGCTCTGGTGGTGCAGTGCAATAAGGCATTTGGCTGCTAACCAGAAGGTTGGCAGTTCAAACCCACCAGCTACTCCACAGGAGGAAAATGAGGCAATCTACTTCTGTAAAGATTTACAGCCTTGGAAACCCGGTGGAGGTCGCTATGAGTCAGAATCCACTCAATAGCAGTGGGTTGTGGTGTTTTTTTGGTATTATAAACTTAGGGAGTTAAAGCATTGGGCTGCTAACCAAAAGGCCAGCAGTGTGAACCCACCAGCCACTCCATGGGAGACAGTCTGTTTCTGTAAAGATCTGCAGCTTTTGGAAACCCTATGGGGCAGTTCTACTTTGTCCTATAGGGTTACTATGAGCCAGAATCGACTTGATGGCAGTGGGTTTGTTTTGTTCTTTCTGTATTATAACTTATGGGACCATGGATACATACGTGGTATGACGTTGCCCAAACAGACATTCAGTGCATGGCTGTACTCCCTTTAGTCCCATCTGCCCAGAGACAGATCTGTTTACTGCATTGGTGAACATCTTTCTTAGCATTCATTCCTAACCAGCTTTACAGTACTTTCTATACACTGCATTTTCCAAGGTGGCTTTACCTTTTCAGGAGCTCTGGTCATGCAGCGATTAAAGTGCTCGACTGCTAACCAACAGGGTCGGCAGTTGGAACCCACCAACCACTCCTTAGGAGAAAGATGTGGTAGTCTGCTTGCACTGAGAGTTACAGCCTTGGAAACCTATGGAGAAATTCTCTGTCCTGTGGGGTCGCTATCAGTCACAGTTGGCTAAGCAGTTGCTCAGCAGTGGGTTTTTTTTTTTGGTCTTATCTTTTTAACACATGGACTTTGGAGCCACATAAATCCCCGCTGAAGTCCAGTGACCTTGAACTAGTGACTACCCCTCTGAGGCCATCTCCTCTGTGTACAGTGGAAAGTAAGATGATGTCACGGTGTGGAAATTCAGATTCGTATATGCATTTAGCTCAGTGTTCAACATTGGCCCCTCTGAACTTTTAGTCCTTTACATGAGTAAGCACGAAGTGCAGAGTGCTATTTTTTTTTTTTTTTTTTAGCACGGAATACAACATAATTACAAACTTAAAGCACTGGGGTTAATGCCCTCCTTAGACATTCCAGCTGCATACAGAAACTTTATCCAACAAGAGTGTGAATTATTTTCTTAGGCTTGGTTCCTAGAAGTGGAATTTAAGGGTACATTCCTAAGATTCTTTAGAATTTACCAGGCCAAAGGGTGCACACATACGCCTCTCTATAACAGCAACTTTCCAAAGCCCCCCACCAGCTTCAGAATTAAGAACACGACTTCAGGTTGCCCTTAGTAGAGATGGCAGGAAGAGGGCATGTTCGTTGGATAGTCTGTGGCTTCTCTGCCCTCACTCAATATGGCGACCTTTCGTGTCCGCCCCCTTAGGGTATTCCGGTGACTTAGGTAGTGACCTAGTCGTAATGGCGGCGTTGGCGACGGCGGCATTTCGCAGATTCCGGGGTCGGCTGATTCAGCGTGAGTTACCTCTTGATTTCTGAGGGCTAGGCATGGATGCCGTGTTGTCATGGGGTCATATGTCAGAAAGTGTCTGTCTGGGGTCACGGACTCAGAGGTCAGAGATCTGAAAGACACCTCAATTCTGTTCCATTCTGGGGTCGCTGATGGCTCAGTGTTCCTAATCTGGAGTCAGTCTCACGATAAAGGGTCTGAGGTCGTTTTCAAAATGAGGCCACTGATGAGGCACCCCTAATCTTGAAACCGTCCTTCTAAAGGAGACCTCTGAGGGGCTGTGTTCCCCAATCTGGAGTCACTGAGGAGTGTACCTTCTGCTCTTAAAGGTGCTTTGTCTCCAGTCTGGGTCACTGAAGAGTCTGTGTCTCCCAGTCTGGAGTGATTGGAGGGTCTTTGTCCACCGTTCTGGAGTCACCCAAGACTCTTCTTTTCTCTCTCCAGAACTTGCAGAGCCCTCCCAGACAGGTCTCAGATTTAGCCTTCGCCTCATGGGCTCCTCTGCACAAGATAAGGCCTCCAAGGCATCTGCCATTGAAGCCCCAGGCCACAGTTATGAGTCTCTTCGGGTGACATCTGTCCCAGGGAACATTCTGCATGTGCAGCTAAACAGGCCTGAGAAGAGGAATGCCATGAACAAGGCCTTCTGGAGGTCTGACCTGCATATCCTGGAAGCCTGCCTGCAGGAGGAGGAGAAGGCTGAGGGATTGGGTGAGGGTGGAGTGCAGGGGGTAGATGGACATGGGGGTAAAAGATTCCTACCCCAGACACAGCCCTTTCTCTTTGCTCCTCCACAGTGAGATGGTGGAGTGCTTCCATAAGATAGCGAAGGATGCCGACTGTCGTGCCGTGGTGATCTCTGGTGCAGGAAAAATGTTCACTTCAGGTACCAGGTGTACTTTTCATCCTCACTTCCACCCCACCACTCTCTACTGCTCGTGGAAATAGAGCAATGCTACTTTTTTTTTTTTTTAATTTTATTTTGATTTGGGTGAAGATTTACAGAGTAAATTCACTTTTCATAC